TCCCAATAAATTACTAATATACTGAATTAGGAACAAGTACCTAACTGACCAAAACCCAAAGCAGGCACGGCAAGCCATTATCAATCACATTTTTCACGAAGCACTTAATATTCCCAATGCACTGTAATTATCACTTGTTAACAGCATGCTGGCTCCGGTTGCAGGTGAAAAACAAGGACCAACACCAAATATTAATGCCTGAAAAACAGCACGAGCCGTACGCCATTCCCCCACTGCAGCAAGATTTTGTTGAGCTAAAAGATATAAAAGGAAAATAGAATTCCAGCATGCATCCTGTGAGGGAATCAATTCACAATCACACCTTCAGTGAAGTCTAAAATATAATGTTGACAGCTGAAGCAAGACAGCTAATCCTCCTGAAACCGTCGGGACTTCTAACACAATCCTGTACCTTATTTTTCAGGCAAATCCAAAGATCCCAAGAGAAAAGCTGCTGTCTGCTTCTAAGCATCTGACTACAGTGTTTCAGAATGCCTGGGTAAGAGCTCAAGTTCCCTGGCCTGGCAGTGAAAAGGCACCTTCAGGAAGTCCAGATTGTCTTCAGAAACTTAAAATTAAATGTTATTGATGCTTCCTGAACGAAGATCACAGAAACAAACTTACAACGCTATCACCAGAAGAGAAAGGAGAAGATCAAACAAAGCTACCAAAGTCAAGTTTGTGCTTTAAAAGGATTCACTAAACGCCCAGCCACGTGCTGCCTGGCCGCGCAGGCTCCCGATTTGCTTCAGCTCCCTCTGAGCAGCCCCATCCACAGCACAACGGGTCCGTGTTCTGACCCTGCCCCGTGCAGCCGCCACCCGGCGGGGCCAGCTCCGTCCCGCGGGCTCAGCGCCGCTCGCCCTCCGATGAGGTTGGCTGCAGTCATGGGGCTGCAGCTCCGACTAGCTTGAACGGTTCCTCTTCTCGTTAAATACTGCAAAACCAAATTCTTAAGACCTGTTATTCTGTGTCCATGACATCTTTTTTTTTCCTCTTAGTGCAAGTCAAGTAACATCCAGTTCAGAACCGAGGCAATTAGCTTAAGAAAAAGAAGGTGCTTCCCAAACCTTTTTTATTTAGAGGTTCTTAACGGCAGAACGTACGTCGGTATTCGCGTGAAAGCCCACCACCGCACTCGAACTGAACACACCATTAGCAGTCGACTGGCTTCCCTGGTCACTTCTTAATTACCCCAGCAGCTGTTTGCTTTGTACACTTTTTGGACAAAACTTACTGCAAAGTTTAAAGAAGCGGCGCAGTTGCCTGGATTTGTCCAGTAAACGCTGGAACTGCTTCACCGAATCCCCTGGAACGCCCTAAATAGGCGAAGCGCGCCCGCGGGCAGCGGCTGCGGACCCAGGCCCGGGCCAACGCGCTGCCCACCGCCCCTCCCGCCGCGCGAAGCGTCCGTGTGGCGCAGGGAGGGACACACGGACACGTCCGCCCTCCCCGGGTGACCTCCACGCCTGGGGACGGGCCGACCGCGCTCCTCACCCCGACACGGCCCCTGGCCTGGCGCACTCAGAAACGGCGCGGCCGCCCCGCCAGCCGAGCCCTCTCCTCCCGCTGCCATAAATCACACCCCCCCCGCCCCATCAACCGCGGGTATTTAATTTAATTAAGACAGA